ACATAAAATAAACTAAGCAATAAGTAAATGTTTTTAGTGAGAAGGATGAACCTGATGCTTTAATAAAAAAATATCAACATTTAGTGTCAATTTAGTAAAGTTTAATCTTAAATCTCCTCGTCTAATGATGTCCAGTCTGTTTCTTTTTTTTCATTAGGAGATTGGTAACAGCTTTCCACTCGGTATGACAATGGAAAGGAAATTAAAAATTTCCTCGCTAACGGAACGGGTATGTTGTTTTGCAGCCATAATTTCTGATATCCGTTTTTAAACTGAACCTTAAGTTCTTCGTTTGTACTTAGTTCAGTCAGTTCCTCTTGTATTATGACTATTAGTTTCTTCTATGTCACCATATGGGTTAATTATCCTCGGTGGTATTATCATAGTCAAAACGTCGTCAAACCTAGTTTCTAAATCTGAACAGAGGGCATTTAAATGTTGAACGTAGGTTGTTGTAACGTCGTCTTCCTGGCAGTTTGTCTGTGACAAATTGGGGAACTGGGAAAATTCGCCCCGTCCAATATTTTGCTTCATTAGTTTATCACTGGCAAGAAACGCTGATAAGATGGACTTTGTTTTAATCAAATTTTATTTTTATCTTTAGTATCCGGAAATTCTACAATAGTCTCAAAAAGTGCAAAAAAAAATCTTGTCAAACATAAGGCTTTCGACAGCCAGAGTACTTCAGTGTGCAGGATTAATTGATGAAGAGATTCATACAATCTAACACTCAAAATTATATAATTTATATAAGTATTTATATTATAAGATAGTATAATAGATAGTAAATAGGTACAATCAGTTTATGTTGAGATCCAGTATCGTGGACCCCCATTTTCATTTCATGGACCCCCAAATTTGTTTTTCGCTGACGTAGACCCCTTGCAGGTTGTCATAGACCCCTGGGGGTCGATATAGACCACTTTGGGAATCACTGGTTTAAATATATTTTGAATAAGTTTGCTTTTTTTTTATTCTCGAGACAACGGGAATTCTCAGGACTCGAGAAATTTTAAAAAGTCATTTCAATAAACATTCAGCAAATGAAATAATGCCTGATTTTGAACAACCAGAAAAATATCTTCTCCAGCTTTATAAGTTTCTGGATTATGTAGATCAGCGGTCGCGGAACTTTTTTAACCATTACCCCAAAATATTATTACGTAAATCGATATTACCCCTTTCCCATTCTGAATAGAAAACAATCAATGTAAATTTTAAATAAACATTATTTATTTAATTAATTTCTATTTACATATTTATAAAAAAAGTTACATGAAAATAGTAACAAATAGTAATAGACAAACAAAACAAAATTCTTAAATTGGAACAAACAAAAATTAATTGAAAACTTTCCCCCTTCAGGTTTTGGAAACATGATGTTGCTTCATGTTTGATATAATCACTTTAAAATTGGGACTTTTTGATGTAAGAGCAATTTGAATACAGTCTTCGGCGTTTAATCGATTTCTGTTTTTCGTTTATATGTTCATTAGAGTGGAAAAGCCTTGTTGCAAATGGCAGCAATTTTTTTACCGCCTCCTCATGTGCAATTTTGAAAGCCTTTGTAGCCTTTGACAACCAAAAAGACGACAAGATTTGCTTTGGTCTCAAATTAAATACAGTATTGGATGGAAGTTCAAGAATTGCCTCTGCCAAACCTGGAGGTTCTTCTGGTATGTTAGTAATTTCACATTTAAAAGGATCTACAGCCCAATTCACAGTTTATACATCAAGATCTGAAAAGTAGTCAGAGAACCGCTCTCTGAGTTTGGTAAGATGAAATTAGAAAAATTACCAAAAAAAAAATCATTTTTACCCCATTTTGGGTAATTTACCCCGCTTCCCCGACCGCTGAAGTAGATATTTCAACAAAGTCATGATTCGTTGTCCAAGTCTATCTAATAGTGCATTATACATTTCTCTGTCTAGATTATTACCTCTTTTTAAAATGTTTCCATGCTTGAGAATGATTGATGTTCATTGTTTGATTTTTGGCTAATTAATTAAAAAATAAACTTAATTTAACATATTATTGTGTCAAATCTAAGTTATAAATTGATCTCGTATTCATAATTAATACTAAATTCAGACAACCTAGAATATTTGTATTCGTCTATTACAACATTTGCTAGTCCTTTTCTAACTACAACTTACAAATAAACTTTTTCTCCATTCCAACACGATGAAGTCTCTGAATCCTAGGGGTTCCCAAACTTTTTCGGACTACGGCGCACCAAGTCAAAACTTTGGTCTACCTCAGCTCGAATTTTATGTTAATAGTAGTTTTTCTTTGATTTTCATGAACAGTTTGGGAACCCCTCCTGTATCCAATTGGTTATATTACTTGTATAAATCCGGTGCATTCGTGGAGGTTTATTTCTACTTTTTATATTTGTAATGGTTCAACATAACTTTTTTGTTTCATTTCTACAAAAAACACAAATTATATTAGTCAAAGCTGACGCTTATTATAAATATATTTAACCTAAGATTACAAAAAAACGAACGATAATTCATGTGTATATATTTTTCCAAAAGTCCCGGTTCATCAACACTAATTTTGAACAGTTTAATAAAAGCAAGTATTGTAATTTAGGATATTAGTATATTTTTAGAGAAACGAATTTGAAAATTCAAACACTTCAAGAAAATGTAAGTAAATAGGTTTATACCCCTTTGGACACATTCTTATTCCAATTGTATTTGTATTTATCAATATTTTTTTTTTTAATTTTTATTTTATTACAAAACTTATAGTGAGAGTAGATAATGACGCCTTTGTTGTTATTAATTGTGTTGATATTTATGTTGTTGTTGTTGTTGATGTTGTTCTGCACACCTCACGCAGTCTGTATGCATTTCGTTGGCTGCTAATTGCCGCAACATGACGCCCCTGTCCAAACAACCGATTCTAAATCTCCCCGCATCCAGAAATAAATCAACACGACGTTACAGTTCCATCATAAAAGCACCAACGACACCAACAATTTTTCCCAACATCAATTCATATTCTAATTATAATTCCACCAAAAAGTATTATCAAAAAAGAATTAAAAACTTGTTAATTTAAAAAAAAACATGTTTACTTCTGTATCTATAATTTAAATTCATACTATTTTATCAAATTCTCTTTTAAATTACTATTTCAATTTTAACTATACAACTTCAAAATAATAATTACTGTTTAGCAGAAGCCTATGAGAAACATATTTTGAATAATAAGTAAAATATAAAAATATAGAGAATTTTAATAACTTGTCTATTATTATTTTTATTAATTGTTTATTTGTTATATTTATTTTTATTTGTTTATTTGGTCAATTAAAAATTCCGTGAATTTTCAAGAATTTTACTAGTCAAATTATCTATTCATAAATTAGAACAATTCATGTAAAACTTCTAAAATTAATTATTTATTTATATCAATGATATAATAAAGATTCCCCGACTTATGAACCCCCGAACAAAAATCTAAAAGCTCTTACTTGTACTATATTTTGTCATTTTTTTTAAATGTATGCAGTCAGTAATACGTAATTTAACATATATAAAAGTAAAAACCATGATAAAGTGTGGTAATATAAGTATATTTTGATTTTTTTTTAAATTACTCCGACTTACGCACAAATTCGATTTACGAATAACCCAACAACTACAACTATTTCGTAAGTCGCGGGATTTCTGTATATACATTTTACTTTGAATTTATTTCATTTTTTATGATTATTTCAAAATTATTATATAAATAATTTACTAAAATAAAGAGTGTCATTAAAAGAAGTGTTACCATTAAATATTTAATAATCCATCAAACAAATTAACAAATACAAATATATTTTATACTTATTTCTGTAGGTTTTTAGTAGTTGCAAACTTTCAAAATTAAATACTTTATTTGGGTCTTAAACACTGATGATTATTGCATAAAAACAATAGGAAAATGAATTACGAACAAACAAAAAATCTTTTAGGGCATTTAAAATTCTTACAAAATAATTAAAAGAAAATTGTTTTATTTGAATATTTCAAAGCATTCAAATTAATATGGTGATTAATTTGAATGCTTTGAAATATTGCAATTGTTAAACTATTTAAATAATATTAACAAATTAATTCAGACCAGATCAGGATTACAATTCTTCATTTGGTGAAATAAACGAAGAAACGCATCGGTCTAATTCCTTGGTCTTGTTGGAAACTTCGTGCCAGGACGAAGCGGATGAATGAAATGCATATAATAATAGAACGGTGGAATCGTATAATTGGTAATTTAGAGCCGTGGCGGACTTCAAACAGGGGAACTGGAAATCTTTTGATATAGGATACGGCAATAAACAAGTCTGCTGCAGGCAAATATCGTTTAAATAAAATTTAATGCGAACGAAAGAATTAAATTAAGCTAAATATATATATATACACACAATTGCCGTTCGCGCTCGATTCCTTTTGATTCTTGTTTTTCACTTTTCCTTTTCCACATTTTTTTTTGTCCGTCCTTCGCTCGTGCATCTTGCTTAAACGAAATTTATATCTTTAAGGTTTATATATAAAAAAAAATTATATATATATAACAAGAAAATGACTGTTGTTTTAATAATGATTATTTTGAGGACAATAAAATGGAGCACGTCATGAGATTTTCATTGGATTTATGAGTTTACATCTGAAGATTAAATTTGCTTTTCAACTGCTTTTTCACCGTTCAAATATATATGTAGATTCAAAAATTCACAGAACATATCAAAATCATCGCAGCTATAAATTCATAGATTCAAATTATGAACATTTCTGAAGGAATGATAAACCTTGAAATGTAGACACTTGTGTAGTCTATTTTATAATGTAATTTATGTAAAAACTAATAATTATCTATTTTTTAAGATTACAGTCATAACTTGGTTAATGTTACCTCTAATAATGAAGCTTCGATATAACGAAGAGCGAAGTCCCCAATTTCAAATATCCAAAATATTTCAATTTAAGGCAAACTACACGATTGAAAACGGAATTGAAAATTTTGATAATTCTTTCAAAAAAAATCAATACGAAATACATATAAATATTGTCAATGTATGGTTTACATCCAATGAAATGAAATTATCGAAATTCCTTCGAAATTGTCGATGAAGCTGTATGAAATTTATTGAATACAAGATATAATGTTTTGGTTAATAGTTTAGAAAACAACTAAAGAAATGTTAACAAATATATCTTTATTTGTGCTAAAATAATAGGAAGAAGTTTTATTGTTAAGAAATCTCTCTTAAATCCAACAACTCCGTATAGATTGTTAAATATAAGAGAAAAAACAATCAAAGACTTAATTTTTCATATATGATTTCTCTTTGTATATAAGTAAGTTTTTTTATTCGAAAAAATTTCAAATTTTCATTTTCTTTACAAAGAAACGTATTAACATTTTGGTCATGGTATTTTGTTACTTTTAAAAATAAAGTTTTGTAAATGTTATTTGATAATATTATTTATCCTATAATTATTAATAATTGGTGGGAATATATACTATATATTAACATAAAATTTACAATACTCATGATAACAATTTATCCACTTTTTGGATGAACATAGTTCAGCACGTTTACACCAATAGAAACTTGAGAAATACAATGGTAAAATTTCTTTAATTTAATTTTAACACAAACAGATTGAATGAGATTGATATAGAATGATAACTTTATTAGCAATAAGTGCAAACATTTCTTTGCGTGAATTTTTACCATTCGAAACCTAACATCTGTAACATTTTCTTATTAATATATCATTGATTACACAATTATTCTTTTATTTCATTTAAAAAGCATTAAGCATAACGATCAAAATGAATTGTAAGGAAAATGACTCGCATAACGAGTGACGATGAGAAGAGAAGTCCCGGATTGCGCGCCTTCTACATCATTTTGAAATCTTATGTACATTTTCTGTGTATTTTTGAATATGTTTTCACTATACGATTGAAAATCCGAAAGTTTTGGAACGGATTAAATTCGTTAAGCGAGGTTCCACTGTATACTTAATTATATATAAAATTAATATCTTAAATAAATTCACGTTATTCAATTAATTAATTAATTTAAACATACTTATTGACTACAATCGTTTGAAGTCTTTCTGTCCCAATTTTATTATATTGAAACAAAAGAGTTATAATTCATATTAATCAAGTCATTTTTTCTTAAATAAATGACTTAATAGTAATGAAAAAATCAAACAACTTTGAACAAATGAAAATCATATAACAAATTTATAGTATAAATATATTTAATAAATTATTTTTAATTACAAAATAATAAATGGTATTTTACTCTATTATCTTCACTTTAATTTTTCACCAATTGAACAAATATTATGCAGCAAAACATTTACTTAAAATAGTTAAATTGATTGTTTTCTACTTACTTAATGAGTTTGTTTGTTTATTTAGTCATATATTGTTATACGTTTTACTTAAAAATTTAAGAAGACTACAGTTAAACCTAGCTTAATCTGTTCCAAAATTTCCGAATTTTTAATCGTATAGTGAAATACTCGTATAATGAAACATATTCAAAAATACACATAATATGTGTACAAATGATGTAGCAGGCGCACAATCCGGGATTCCTCTTCTCATCGTCACTCGTTATGCGAAACGTCGCTAAGGGAGTCATTTTGCTCGTTATGCGAGATGCTCGTTAAGCGAGGTTTCACTCTATGGATATTGTTATATGCGAGAATTTACTAAATAATTAAATAAGTTCTATTTCTTAAACATTCAACAAGTAATTTTTGTTATTTAATACAATTGAATTTGAAAATAGTTAACATTCAAATAAGTTACTAAGATATTTTTATTTGATTTTACAAAATAATTTATTTTTCTAGACATTTATTTGATTAAGTTTAAATATGTTTTTAAGATCTATGTTTATTATGAAGATTTTGTAATGGGTTTATTAATTTTTATATTTGAAATTAAGTGCCTTCTCATGGTTATGATTATAGTTATTTGATTATATGATATACATTTAAATACTGGACATGACACGATTTTGGAAATGGTAACTTGTTACTTACTAGTGTATGTTAAATTGGTCTAATTAGTATTTAGTAGCACGATTTGTAATGCTCACCATCTGAATAATTTCTCTGGTATAACTCATCTGGACCTGTTCCGCTGTTTTGCGGCGCCGTCGCTTCGTCTTTCGTGCAAACTTCACTAACAAAATGTACATCCCCACGGTAAAAGTCACCGACACCTTCGCACTTGAAGTTTCCGAAAGGTCCTGGGACCATCGCAGGACCATCCTGTATACGACGATGGTCCTTATCATCGCGACTTAGAAGCGATTCGATGGAAAAACTCTTGTTGACTTTGGTTGGCGTCGCGACGCTCATCTCCGAGCTCGAATCTTCCATGGTAAGGAATGAGCATAGAGCGTGCGGCCATTGCGCCGAAATTGGGAAAAAAGTTAAGTAGCTTCCGTCGGCCAATGGAAACGTGCCATGGGTGGAGTCCAGGACGATGGTAGGGATAATTGAGATATATTTAGTTACTTAGAACATATCATCATGGCTTTGGACGTGGATAAATGCCCGGCAATAATATCTCGGCACCCGTTTTTAATAGATTTTAACGAGCCCAGGATACTCGTTACATGTACCAATTATTATCGCTATTTGCCATAGGCGCTTCGGGAATGCCCAGTTCGTCCTTTTCGTGTATATATTCTCTTCTTTTTTTTCTCCTTTTCCACTTACTTTATTCGTTGTAACTATCCGATTCTTTTTGGCACAGCCTTCCACATTTATATGTTGCGCTTTGTTTATCGTAATGTTGAAATATCTTCGGCCGTGTTTCACACGGTTATTATAAATCCCGACGGTGGATTGACATTCTGATATATTGGATATTTGGCTTTCAACGTAATCCCTTATAAATTCACATACATTTTATACAAAATGTATTCCTCAACTCTTAAATTTATAACATAGCCTTGTTTTCATGTCAAGATTTTTTTTTTCTTTACAATAAAATTTCATGATCTATTAACAGATATACTTTCATTTTAAATACTTGTTTTCATCATCAAAAATACCAAATATTTTAACCAAAGAAAAATTGCATTTACAATTTTATTACGAAACTTTAGAGAATATTTAGTTTTATCTTAAATAAAAAAACTTTTAAATAATTATTATATTAACATTTTCCTTTTAAGTATTAAGGATAATTTTGTATTTTATTAAGAACGATTACAGTTTAGAATATTACAATTTTTAATTTATTTTTGTATTGAAATTTAAGATAATTTAAATACTTTTAAATAAAAAAGAACGTTATTATAAACTCATTTTAAATTTTATATAAATATTAACTATATTTTCCATACGTTTCAATTATTTTAATTTTTTTTTTTTTGCAAATTCATACGATTTTTTGTGTTGAAAAATTACAATAATTAACTAATTAATGAAAGAAATCTATTTTTTTACTAATTAGGACTTATAGAACGTTCTCATTTCTATAATCAAAATACCAAAAGATAATAATAACACATCTTTATTAGATTTTATGTTGATTCCTAATACATCCCCCCGACTTACGAACTTTGCAAAACTTACTCCTTTTTTTAATTAATAAATATCGAAATATTAACTTGCATTTTCTCATTGAATTCTACCGTTTAATGACGACAGAGAATAAGAATGAGAGAAAGAGAGAATTTACCAAATGAGAAACATTAATAATATTTGTTTATCAATTTTATTCTCTACGTAACGAATATAAATATTGTTTGTAATATAAATATGTAATATTTTAAAAGCTCTAACTTGTTAATAATTTTATCACTATATACCTCCTTGGATATATAGTGATAAAAAGATTAACTGTCCAAACAAAAATTGATAAAAAATCTGTTTTGTTGCATTTGTTTCTTTTGTCGTTTTTTTTATTAAATAATTGTGATGTATTGAAAAGTATTTGTAATCAAGGATTTTGTTTATTTTCATCAATTTTTTAAATTTTATGCAGTTAATAATACGGAATTTAAAATATATTAAAGTAAAACCCATGATAAAGTGTGGTAAGATACGTATATTTTGATTTTTTTTAAATTTACCCGACTTACGAATAACCCTTTGGAATGGAACTAGTTCGTAAGTCAGGGGATACCTGTATATGCGTACAATACAACCATACAATTTGTTTGGTTGAACATTTTTTCAATATTTATACTTTTAGAATTAAACAATCAAAGAAGCTTGAGCTTCCTTATGAAACAATAAACATATACATATTTCCTTAATAAAAAAGTAAAATTTGTTGAAATAAATAATTAATAATAAATACAAAATAAGTTTAATATATTACCAAATCCGGCAATCCAATTCCAATTCTTAATGATAATTACAATGTCCACCCACTTGTCAAATCGTATATCTCATACTTGTTCGAATTTACAATTTATCAATCAGAAGTTTATGGGTAACTTTACCATTAAGTAATATAAAATCAGGCGCACTTAAAGCTTTTATAACCAGCTTTTATATTATCATGTTAATAATATTAATTTCAATGTCTGAAAACAAAATTTCAATATTTTTCTGGAACATTGTTTTAATTGATAGAATCGTTCAACCATAGCAAATAGGCTGTGCTATGTCATTCTGTTAGCCAAAATAAAACATATTTTCTTCCTAAATTAATTTTTGATGTACTATTTTTTTTTAAGTAGTATAATTTTATTCACAATCTATTCATCATTGTGAACATTGAGTAAATTTAAGATCGTGGTTGATAATAGATGGATAATTATTCCCGGTGGATAGTTACCATTATGATGATTAGAACATTGATAATTACTTAAATATATATACTAAATCTAGAGGTTTGCAACATTTCAGCCTGTTTGTGGTTTCACTGTTGTCGAGTAGGCCAATAGCCAGAACATTAGTATGTGACTTCTGTCTATTTTGGTATCTACTACTAAATGTTAGTATTGTATCCTCGACCATATCTATATGAAGATCTTCATGTATTTGTTTATTCCTGACGAACCATGGAGCATATTTACATATTTCTTAGGCATCCCACAATTGGACGTCCATACTGGTTTCAGTATTACTTTGTATATAAGTAATTTATTTTTCACTGATAATTCCGACTTTTTCCCTAAAAGCCAGTAGAGTTTTCTAAACTTTATTTCTAATTGCTCCCTCTTAGCCTAAATGAGATGATGTACTATTGAAGAATTTTCTTTTTTGAAGATCAAAGTAATAATTTTCCGCTGGTCAGATTTTAATTATGATTATTAAAACATCTTAATGAAAATCCTAAATTATCGGTATTTCTTATCAAAATTTACCGGTAAATTCAGTAATCATATTGGCGTGCAATACCCGTTATTAAATTTAGACAACAAATTGCGTATAATATAGTACAAACTTTGTTGATCTTGTAACCATAAGGCAGAAAAATAAGTAGTATTTACCCCCCAGCTAATTGAGAACTAATTTATTGTCTGTTGCCGATCAATCAGTTTCTTATGAAATAAAAGATATTATAAAAAAAAAGGCTTTTTTAAGGTTGTTTCATAATTAAAGAACGTGAACTTATATTAGATATTAATTTTATATATGCTAAAATATATTTATGTTACTTCTATATGTCATTAATATAATAAAACGATAATTTATATTATTTATATTAATATTAACATTGTATATAATTATTGAATTCGAATTGTAAAAACTAATTGTAACTTATGTAACAGATGTTAGTTCCATTTTTCTATTAATTTTGGAGTTAATGTGTTTAATTTGTGTCGTTTATAAAGAAAATGTTTAGTATTTGTATTTAATTGTGTACACGCTCTGTGTATAAGTAGGTTTGATGTTAGCCTAAGTGAAGGCAAATAAGTAGGAGCAGTTTATTGGATCACGATCCAGCCGGAGATAATAAATATTTATAGTACAAATGTGTGAAAATATAAGAAAACAAGGAAGCAGAAATTTATGAATTTAATTAGTGCTAGTGTCAAAATTTATCGCCAGTTATACCACGCATAATCACGACAGTATAATGCTAGTATATATAGCGGTAGTCTTAACTAGTTGGCAACCGTTTGACGAAAATGTGTTTAAAATTAAAAGGCGGCTCGAAAGATGAAAAAGAAACGAAGACGACGAAGAAGAGGATCGGGATGAAAAAA